GTACACAATGGAATATTATGCAGCCATCAAAAGGAATGAGATCTTGCCATTTGCAACGTCGTGGATGGAACTGGAGGGTGTTACGCTGAGTGAAATAAGTCAATCAGAGAAAGACATGTATCATATGACCTCACTGATATGAGGAATTCTTAATCTCAGGAAACAAACTGAGTGTTGCTGGAGTGGTGGGGGGTGGGAGGGATGGGGTGGCTGGGTGATAGACATTGGGGAGGGTATGTGCTATGGTGAGCGCTGTGAATTGTGCAAGACTGTTGAATCACAGATCTGTACTTCTGAAACAAATAATGCAACATATGTTAAGAAAAAAGAAAAAGAAGAAGATAGTAGGAGGGGAAGAATGAAGGGGAGTAAGTCGGAGGGGGAGACAAACCATGAGACACGATGGACTCTGAGAAACAAACTGAGGGTTCTAGAGGGGAGGAGGGTGGGGGGATGGGTTCGCCTGGTGATGGGTATTGAGGAGGGCACATTCTGCATGGAGCACTGGGTGTTAGGCACAAACAATGAATCGTGGAACACCACATCAAAAACTAATGATGTAATGTATGGTGACTAACATAACAATAAAAAAATTTTTTAAAAAATTGTGCGGAATGAAAGAAGCCAGACCAAAAAAAAAGGCCACATGTTGTATGATCCCATTTATATGAAATGTCTAGAATAGGCAAATCCATTTGCCTATTTTCTTGGGGGGAGGAGAAGAGGACTGGGAGGAAGTCGGAAGTGACTACTAAAAGGTACAGCGTTTCTTTTTGGAAGGGATAAACTCGTTCTAAAATCAATTGCAGCGATGGTTGCTCAACTCTGTAAATACACGAAAAACCATTGGATTGCACACTTCAAATTGGTGAATTGTATGCGAATTATATTTCACTTAAAGCCGTTATAATACAAAAGTGATACACGTTCATTATAGAAACAGGAGAAAATCAGAAAAGTAAAAGGAAGAAAAAGAAACTCACTTCACATTTTTAAAAAACCTCGTTTTCCAATTGTCCTCAGGACAATCCGGACTCCTGAGAGTTTCCTCAGGATTGATTGAATCAAAGGTGCTTACCCTGAAATCTTGCATGATTCATTCCATTTACTTCTCCAACACCATCTTTTATCATTTCCAAGTTGGCTCCCTATATTTCAACTGTAACAAGCTAATTGCAAATCACGTACACACATCATTCTCCTGCCTGTGATTGTTGGTCCCTCTCTTCTTCATTTGGTTGTTTTCACCCATTAGGATTGGCTTAGATATCACTTCCACCATCTTTCCCTGACCCCAGGGGACTAGGTGTATCAAATCATTTACACTATGTATTTCTAAGACGAAAAAATTAAATTAAAAACATATATGCCAACTGAAAAATGAAAAGATATTAAAGAGACCTCCAAGATCTCTGGGACAATATCAGAAGGTCTAAAATTCATGTCATTAAATGCACAGAGGGAGCAGAAAAGCGATTGGTGCAGAAAATAATTTTTGGATGAATAATTGCTTCAAATTTCCCAAAATTTGATCAACGACATAAATTTACAGATTCAAGAACTCTGTGAACTCCAAAATGTATAAACTTAAAAAAAAAATCACATAGATAATAAAACTGCCCAACACGAATGAAGAAAAATCTTGAAAGCAGCTAGACAAAAATGACATAATACATATGGTAATAATACTTTGAAATACTGCAGATTTCCCATCAGAAACCAGGGAGGGCAGGAGACAAAGGAACGTCTTTAAATTGCCGAGAGAGTGGGGCGCCTAGCTGGCTCAGTTGGTAGAGAATGTGACTCTTGATCTTGGGGTCATGAGTTCAAACCCCATTTGGGGGTACAGTTTACTTTAAAAAAATAAATTGCTGAAAGAACTGCCAAACCAGAATTCTATATCCAGCGAAAGTACCCTTCAGGGATGAAGGCAAAACAAAGACATTCTCAGATGAAGAAACATGAAGAGAATTTGCAAATAACTCTTAAAGAAATACTGAAGGAAGTTCTTTAGGCTGAACATAAAATCATACCAGAGAGAATCTTGGAACTTCGGGAATAAAGAGGAAGAGAAGCGGTAAATATAAAAGACTATTTTCCTCCTCTTAAGTTTTTAAAAAATATGTATGATTATTGAAAGCAAAAAAAAATATTATAACATTGTCTGGAAGAGTTTCTAATGTATTCAGGTCTAACACCCATGAAACTTTAAAGGATCAGTCTTAGGGCGAAGTGGTCCTAAGGCTTTACTTCTTAAAAATGTATTTACAGTGGGGCTCCTGGGTGGCTCAGCTGGTTAAGCGCTGACTCTTGATTTTGGCTCAGGTCATGATCTCAGGCTCTTGGGATCGAGCCCTGCATTGGGCTTCACACTCGGTGGAGAGTCTGCTTGACATTCTCTCTCTCTCCCTCTCCCTCTGCCCCTCCCCCTGCTCACACTTTCTCTCTCCAATAAATCTTTTTTAAAAATGTATTTATAGCAAAAGTCAGTTGAGTTTTGAAAAATGCACATAGTCATGGAACCAATATGATGGTCAAGATAGAGAGTAGTTCAAAAATAATGAATGTGGTCATTACTTCCCAAAGTTGACTCAGGCCATGTCGTATTAATTTTTTTTCTTCCCTCCCCACCTCCCCAGGCAACCAATGATAAGTTTCATGTTATTGGAGAGCACTTTGCATTTTCAAGATTTTCTATGAATGGAATCAGGGAGGTTGTACCCTCTTTTTCTGGCTTCTTTCATTCAGCATAATAATTGTGAGACGCACTCGTGTTGTTGTTGCCAATTACATAGTGGTGTGTATTAGTGCATTGGATTCCCTTTGGGAAAACCAAGTGCACTGACAAATTATATGTGTGCGTATGTAAGTACCTACATGCACATGTAAGTGAGAGAGGTAAAGATTCTGAGAGACGCATTTTATATGCTAGCTGAACAGTTCTTGGTACAGTATTGTGGATATAGAGCCAGTATTATAAATGCAGGGAAGGTATTTCCACTTTCTGAGGGACAGCATGTTTTCCTGGAAAAGGTTGAGGTCTAGGAGTCAATAGACATAATTGCCTGACTAATAATCATGATATGATTACTGACTGAACAATCTCAAGTAAGCTATTTAGCCTCTCAGTGACTTAAATTCCTTGTTTTTGAGAAAACAGGGATAATGACAGCACTTCATAAGGTTGTTATGGGCTTTAAAATGAGATGAATAGTATAAAGCACTGGGCACAGAGCCCGACGCATAGCAAACAATCAAAAAGTGCCGGCTCCTTTTCTTTTCTACCATTTAATTTGCAGGGGAAGAAAATTCTCACCCTGCAAAAAAAAAAAAAAAAAAAAAAAAAAGGCAATAGCTTCTTTGAGCTTAATTGTAATATCATAGTGCCATCTGTTGACCATATAGAACTATTACATTACTTGTACTGGAGAGTTCATTTCTGACAAAGCTCTACCACGTCTGAAAACCTGTATTTAAAATGTCCTCTCCAGTGTGGTCGGAGCTAGTGTCGTAAGGACGGGGATTGAGGGCTTTACGAAAAGACTGTTCTGCTGAACTTGGAGACCCCTCCCCTGCCTAGGTATCCTTCCTTGTTAAGAGGCAGGGATCAAGGAAAAAGGAGAGGAGTTTCTCCCATACCCTACCCTAAGATGGGCAGATGAGATATTGAGTGTGGAAACAAGTGAATGAAGTCTTCTCATCCATTAGGCTGATGGAGGAAGGAGATGGTATTTTCTTCTGTTGGGGGATCCGGGGAGATGATGGGAGGAAGGAGTTGGTATTTTCTTCTGCTGGGTGGTCTGCACTTGAAAGCTCTGGCCAGCATAGCTTTGGCTTGGAGTCCGATCCCATTAAGGGTTTCAAAATCTTGTAACCCCAAATACCACACAAATATCCTTAAATGTGGAATAGAAGGGGTCCCCCCTGTCCGTTCTCCCAAACTCATCCCCCCCACCCTGTTAGGCTCAGGTTGCACAGATTCCCCTGTCCCCACTCCCAACTCCAGGGGCTCCAAAACGAGTCTCAAGAGATGGTCACTCCCACCATCTTTCCTGGGCCAACAAATCAAGTCAAGACTGGTTGGTTTATTGAATGTGAACTTTATTGTGGTTTGGATTATGTAAGGCAGTGTGGTGAAGGCACTGCAGAAGTTACACAGACTGAAAAACATGGTAAGAAATGAGTGAGCTAAAAAAAAAAAAAAAAAAACACCTACAAAATATATTTTTAAATGAATGCGTGCTGGACTAGACTAAGTACTACAACTATGCTTTTTCTTCATCATTGCAGAAGCATTGAAATATTGTCAGAAGTGGGGGTTGGGAGGGGTTGGGGAAGGCTTCATGGAGGAGGTGGAATTTATGCTGGACCTTGAAGGAGGGGTAGAACGTTGATAGATGAGACGGAGGGGAAGAACACTTCAGAATGACTGACTCTAGAGAAAATTCTGTAGAAATACTGAAAAAACAAGAGGGCAAACAAACGCCCCCAGGGAATGAAGCTTCCCAACTGAGAGGCCCGGGGTTGGGACCCAAAATCTCAAGCCCCCAGGTGGGGTCTTCAGTACCAATGATATCTGGAGGCACAGGACAATGGGCTTGTTTGTAAACCTAGCAGCAGCAGGAGATTTCACATTGCAGTCAGGGGCCCCAAATTGGCTGTACTATATGCCTGGGTGGGTTTTCTCATCCTTTCAGGGTGTGTGTGGTACTTATTTGTCCTTCCTCGTGCCCGCTGACTGCCTGAACGGTAGTTCGTGCGCGCCCATGTGCGCGTGTGTGAGTGTAGGTGTGTGTGGATGGGTGGGGGACCGAGGCTTTGTCTCCCACTGCAGCTTCTTCCACGTTTCCCTCTTTGGGGCACACAGCTGGCTTCCATCGAGCTGGAGCTCGGGCCCTTCCCACTGGCTGTCTAGACCTCACTGAACTCCAACTCGTCATTAAGCACCTAGGAAGCTTCCTCAACATGAAGGTAAAACCTACTGTGGGGGGTGACTTGGGTGAGGGCAGGACTACACTTTCCGGGGGTGGTGATGGTTGGTGGTATTCAGTGGTGGTGGTGACGGAGGTGGTATTGGTACTGGCGGTGATGAGAGCTGGGGCCTCAGAAGCAGGCTCTGGCCGCTGGCTAAAAGCCTGCTGGCAAGTCTGAAGTGTTCAGTAGGGAGCTGGGATGTCAGGCTAGACCAGCTTGGCCTTGATCACCCCTCCTCCTTCCTCAACACGCCCTACAGGGAAGATAACACTGGGTGCCTGAAAGCAGCAAACACATCTGTAGGGTATCCAGGCCATTGTTGTCCTGCTTAAATCTCACCCCCGGAAGCCCCAGAGATCTTTTTGTTGGCAAACATCTGTATGATCTCCACATAGGACTGTCACCTCCCCCTGTCCAGCTGCTGGAGGTATATAGGTTATGTAGCTACTGATGCTACCTGGATCGGGAGGTATGGGGGATTTATCAGAAGAAAGGAAAAGTTAGTTACTGTGAGTTTCTTTCTTTCAAAGGAGTATGGATTAGGTAAGACCTGGCACCTGACAGAAAAGGGAAGGATGGAAAGCTCTGTCAGGATTCCCTAGAGCTGAAGATTTAGAGCTCAGTGAGATCATCGCTGGAAATAACCTTGAAGCTGATGTGGCCCTGCTTGACTTTGGCAGTCGGGCCACCCTTCTTACGCAGGTACAGAGACTTCAGATCACGGCAGTCGCTGGGGTCAGCATCCAGAGTAACCTGCCCCAGGAACTGATCACAGAATTTCCGGCTGTTCCACACCTGGAGAGACAAGTCAAGAGAGCAAATGTGAACCACCCTCTGTGAGACCGGACGTGGCCCAGTGGCATCCAGAACCTAGCGCTGAACTTGGAAAGGCCTGTTTTAAAACTGAGAGACTCTCTTTCCTGATAACAGGCTCTGGCTGACAGGAAGCTACCTCAAAGAGGAGAGGTGAAGAGCCAGTCAGCAGCGCTCAAGGTCAGCTATACAATGGCTTTGTAAAGGCAGCTGGGCAGAAAAACAGCCAAATGATAGTGGTCCACCCTGACCTAGCAGGATAAGGGTCATCTGACCTGGCATATGCTTTCCCTCATGGGATTTTATAGTACATGTCACAACACGTGTACCTGTGAGCATGTGCGCTTCCACCCACAATGAAAGGGACGGAGGGGAGGGTATTTACAATGGAAATTAATGAGGAAGTCAGTGTCTGTGCTTGGTGGGAGGTGTCCTGGAGTAAAAATAAACAGCCAAAGACCAGGATGACCCTTGCTGTGTATCCTGTATAGTTGAGGCACTTGGGATAATCTAGCCTCTCAAATGGAATGTGAGCCATCCCGGGGGGCGGGGGGGTGGGGTCCCTGTTCACACACTTACCTGCACTATAATAGGAATGTCAGTGGTCCTTCTGTAGAAAATTGCCTGGGTGTCAAAAATGGCATGAACAGTATTCTTCTGGACGGGAGAACGGACTTCCTCCTTGCCACACTTGATGACCAAATACGGATTTACGGCTGGAACAAAGCGACAGTCGCTTTTAATGGAGTGATTACAGTTCTTATTCTAGAGAGTTGAGAAACTGGTTCACTGGGACTTTTTAGCCTAACACCTGGGTACCAGAATGACCTCGAACCTTGGATCCCGATTCCCTTTTCTTCTCCAGCCTTTATAAAAATGAATAGTATGTAGGCCTTGCCCAAGGATGTTCACATCCCGTTCTCTGTCCAGGTCGACAGCCATCCTGACTTCCCGAGACTGAAAATAACCCCTGGAGAGAACTGTTCGTGACCACCTTTTCTAGCCATAGGTGCAATAAATGAAACTGCAGTTCGCTTTCCCAGACACCTCTGCGGTCCTTACTTTCATTGGCATACTTCTTCTCCAGGCCCTCCGCACTGTGAACGGTGATCTGGGTCACCACCTTCGGGTAGCCACGAGCCAGGTTCCAGCAGGACATCTTGGGCATGTCCAGAGTCAGTTCCCTGGAACATCAAAAAGAAGACAGGCCACTGATGACGAATGCCCTCTGATGAGGAGATAGGCCTCACAAGGCAGCCATTGCTGCTGAAGACATGGAATACTGAGTGACCCAGCTCATTCCTCCTCAGACATGGCTTATATTTTATGAGTCTGTTTTCCTTCCCCCTGGCGTTAAGGACCAGCAGATAAAGATCAGAGTAGGCAGGGCCGGGGTAAAAAGGCAGCTTTGGTGACCCAGCATTCAGAACATACTCGAGGAGCCGTGAGGAGTCCCAGCTGCTTAAGAGAAGAATAGAGTCAGCCAGAGAATGGAAGAGAAGATATACATGGGAAAGCTTAGGCTATAGGCCTGTTCCCCTGAGATGGCAGCCCAGAGGTCTGAAGCTCAGACCTCTACCGGGGAATTTTTCGTGGTTACGGAAATAACCATTTTGAGAAATATTTCTACCACCGTCATGTCAGTGACGTCTGACTTGGACAGGCTGTCCTTTTGCGTGTCTGCATAGGAGGAGCAGGGTCAAGGGAGGTGGGTGGGTTGGGACTGGAGGCAAAGCAGAGGCTAGGAGTTTGCTGGACTGGCCGCGGGAGCTGAACCTGAGCTGGACGGGCACTTCGGAGAAGATTCTCAGGAGAAACTCGCTGGTGCGGCCATGTTGGAACATGGTTGGGACAAGCACGTAGTTGCCTTTCTTCAGGTACTTGCTCAGAAACACGGTGCGGGTGTCAATGTAGGTGGATGTCCCAGCACGCTCTTGGATGTAGAGATGGTGGAGGCGGAACTTGCGGTTCATCTCCACCTGAAAATGAGACAGGACGAAATGCCCTGTTCCGCTCGAATCGCAGTGTTCGTGCTTTCTTTATCTTTGGACCTATCTTCATTCCCCTCACCCCAGGCCATCCTAACTGTGACTCTCTCTGCCATTATTCTCTCTGCTCCACATGCCCGTTCTTACCTTGAAGAGCTCAAAGCCAATGATGTAATTGTCAGGTCTTCCCATGCGGCGGTAAGTACGCAGGTCCTTCTGCTGCAGTGACATAATGACCTTGTGCCCATCCTCGGGCACAGTGAAGATATACTAAGGGAAAAGAGGCCACCATGGAGCTTTAGTTAGCACTTCCATTTCAGATGAGCCCGCTCAGATCTCAGGGAAGACAACTACATTGAGGAGCAGAGACTCTGATTATTTTCTGGGCTTTGCCACTGACCAGACACTGTGGCCTTGGATAATTCATGGGCTTGCTAAGTGGAGATCATATATTGCTCCTCCCTATGGCATTCAGCATGGATCGAGAGATAACTTCACGCCTGGGTCTTTGATGCCAAAGAGGGTAAGCTTCTTGGTAAGATCTTGGGTTTATTTTAAATCGTCCCATGCTTTTAAAAGCTGCACACTGAAAAATTCCAGAATCCATAAAGGCAAAAGGCACTTTTGTTTGACTTAGCCTGATACTATAGCATCCCCCTCAGGTAGCCTCCTCTAGCCAGCCCAGATGTGTGGCTTGTGGAGGGGCTGGACCCACTTCCTTGAAGAACTGATGCTTTGCTACCCTCTCTGCCGGGAAGCTGCAGACCTGTGTGTGAGACTCTGAAACATCATCTAAGGGAATCATAGTGCCATTGGGAAGTAAAACTAAAAGGCATCTGATTGGTCTCTCTGTGTCTGTCTTTCTCTCTCTCTCTCTCTCTCTCTCTCTCTCTCGCTGCTTTTTTTCTCTCCCTCCCTTTAACAAGAAACAGAAAATAAATCCAGAATCATAGGTTTACAAGGCCCCTAACGATCAATCTTGTGCAGTTAAGTGTGAAGCCAAAAGCCCATTTCTCCAGCTCGGTCGATGTGCCTGATATTTGAAACATTTCCAGGGTTGTACATGGGGATGATGGGGGGGCGGGGAGCAGTAATGGGAGCTTTCCTTTCTTTAAGGACAATTACGATGAAAAAAAAAAGATGGAAAGAATGAGGAGAAAAAAGGTACGAGTTAAATAAATCAGCCTACTCATCTTAGTGTCCTTCCAAATGCCTGGCCAATGAGGCCCATGGAAAGAAAAGACATACCCATGTAAGGTGACAGTACAGTCAGAATTCTTGCCTCCCGTGGGTTATCTCATCAGCACATTTGGGGGTAAAACCATCAAGACTATTACAAATTCAGGCTTTGGATGTTTGGATTTTTTTGCTTTGGGTCATGCTTGGGCTTGACCCCTAATGGGTCGTGTGGAAGAACATTGTAATGGAAGACAGATGAGACAGGGTCACTGATCGGGCAGTGCTTCAGATCCTGGGCAAAATGATCTGGTTCTGGGTGAGAGAAGGGAGGCATAATGATGGCATTCAGAAGATTCACTGCATGAGAAAGAAGATGCACACTGTAAAGGCGCACCCAAGAGAACAGATGGGCAGTCAAGAAATGAAAAAGAATTGAGTGTCTGGGAGCAGATCCTTTCTGTCCGATGGGGGACAATCACAAAGAGCCACACCAAGCAATATGGCACCAGGGGAGAGGCAGCCAGAGGAGATGACTCAGATTTAATATTGTTCCCCACATACGTCTCTGCAATAGACACAGTCTGCCATGACTTATAGCGCCTGAGCCAATCCTTAGGCACCTTGGTTGATGAGTATTACACAACAGCTGCAAATTGAAAAACTGATGTCAAAGAAATACTGCAAGGTGAGACCCAAGTTCCCATTGCCTTGAGAAGTTGGAGACAAGATTAGGAAAAAAAACCCACAAATTGATTCAAACCTGGGGATTCTGCAGGAAGGTATCACGGTTGTTATAGCAGCCCCCTGACCGGTTCATCAGGGGATCATCGTCCACAGTCCAGCATCCCACCACCGATTCCAGCTCCTTGCGGCCAAAAATGGGGTTGTTCACGTTGCGGCAGACGTTCAGTTCGTGAAAGTTGCGGCAAAAGTCCTCCAGGCTCATCCTGAACAGAAGGAAGGCAGGAAAGAAATGAAGATGGTGCCAAATACCTACCACAGTAGTGCCACATGGGAGCCCCAAGGCCCTTAGCACCAAAAACCCCTCCTCACCAGAACTCTCCATCATCAGACATAACTAGCCCCAGGTTCTTGCGGTCGGCCATAGTCAGCTGCTGCCACTCTTCAGAACTAAAGGCAAATGAATGGAGAAGCCATTAGGTTTACCATTGACTTCCTACGGGAAGCAGGACACCAAAGGACCAGAAGGCGTGAGTGTTGGGCCTGCTTTATTTCACCTCTGGCTGGGTCACAGACCCCGCAGATGTCACTAGGCACTGACAGCCCACTAGCAATCCGGAGGGATGCGTTGGGAGAACTATAGGGCTTGGGAGACGTGGCCGTCCAAATGAAATGTCACTCACATTTCGCTCCAGGGGCCGCTCCATTCCTGACGTCCCAAGGGGTTCCTCAGGCGAACCATATAGAGCTTCTCAGTACTGAAGACTTCTAGCAGTCTCTCTCCAAGACGGATCTTGCGAATATCAGTCATGGTGTAGGTATGGCCCTTCAGAAGACCCCAGTCAGTTTCAACTTCTTGCTCCTCCTGATTAGGAGACTGAGAGCAAAGAAAGATACATAAGGCCACAAGAATTGAGAGACCCAAGGCCTGGCTCCAACTCTTCCTTGATTGGTTTACCCCAGTATGGTTGAAGCCAGTTCTCCTTAAGCAGACAGAAATTTTATCCAGACACCTGACTTGACACAAAGCAAGTGAAAGAAAGGAAATAAAGAATTTAATATAATAAACCCACTTAAACAATTCAGATTGAAACTACCCACAGTAGTACACTGATACCCACAGCTTAAAAATTTGGTGGGGCTGGTTTACTGCGTGAGCAAACTGCTATCTATAAGTTCCACCTCCAGGGGCAGAGGCAGGAGGAATAATTTAGCAGAGGCTGTCTACACCGGCTCAGAAACTGCATCAGCCCCCAGTGGGATGGTTGGTACAGAAGGATAAAAAGTTAAAGCTCTGGGGCGCCTGGGTGGCTCAGTCGGTTAAGTGTCTGCCTTCCAGCTTGGGTCGTGATCCCAGGCTCTTGGGATTGAGTCCCGCATTGGGCTCCCTGCTCAGCGGGGAGTCTTCTCCCTCTGCCCCTCCCCCCTGGCTCGTACTTGCTCTCTTGCTCGCTCGCTCTCTGTCTGAAATAAATAAATTCTGAAAAAATAAAAAAAGTTAAAGCTCGGTGGCCTCTGTTCCAGGACTCAATGCATATTGTTGGTTTTCTGAGCGCCATAATGCCTTCTCCTGAATCTCCGGGGGAAGGGTGACATTCCCTACTAATTTTGTAGTGTGAGCAAAGAATGCTTGTTTTTGGTGACAACAAACCTCAATGGAGCAACAGATCAGCCCTCCTTTGGTAAATGTTTTGTACAGCTCCCCAAATAGCTTGTACTTCTCCTCAACCAGCTCGGTGTATCTTCCCTTCTGCATGTCAACGGTCTCGGCCAGTGTACCAGTGAAGTCCACGATGATATCAGTGGTGGTCAAACCATCGAGGGCTTCATAACAACCAAGCAGCCTGGGGGCAAATATGCAAGGTTATCTTGGTAAACTGATTTTTCCAGGTGGAGGTTGTCTTGTTCCCAAGAATTAGAACAGTCCCCGCCCAGCCAGCCTTTACCAGCTGGCTTTTCGATATTAATGAGATTACAGCCAGAGATTTCTAGGCTCAGGTTATGTTGAGCAAGGGCAGTCCGTGAAGAAGCTTCCTTCTCCAGGTAAACATTAGGGAAGGAGAAAAGGTGAGGCCATCATGCCATGTGATCTGCAGATTAGCAGCAGGAAGGGGCACCTACGGGCAGGGAGGGTTTTTAATGGAAACTAGAAGAGCTCATTTCTCTATCATCCAGGATTTCTGAGGGCCAGGCCCAGGCCCAAAGCAATGCCTTAGATCTGACTGCTATGCTACCCCCTTTAAACTCAAGGGCTCGGCTGAGAGAGGATGAGCTCCCAAGGACAAATGTGGCCTTCCCTTCCTCGTGTACCCTGACCACTGACTGGTCAACCCCCCTCCTTACTTTGCATAAGCTTTTTCCAGTAGAGCATTCCAAAACTCATTCATGGAGGTGGAGAAGGAGAAAACCAGATCTCCATTGATGGTGGGCAGCAAGTCATCAATCACCACCTCAGTCCATTCTCCAAAATGCCAGAAACGGAAGCGAAATATCCCAGCATATTTATCGAGTTTTCGAGGGTCCCATTCCTGTTCCTTATGGTTGGGAATTGTCTGGAAATATAAGAACAGTCATACAACTGTTATTCACCAGACCACATCCAAATATTGAGTTGCAGTTGACTTCTGGCAAATCTGTATGGCAGTAGGAAGCACACCAAATACATCTGGTTTGGGTCTAGGCTGGGAAGTCCTAGGCTGGGCATTTTTTTCCCACAACTTTTGCTTCCCTACGTCAGTTTTGCTGAGGATAGTATTACCATGCCGGCCCTGAATACACACAGGGTGACTGAGGGGAAGCCAATTAGGAATTAAATTATTTCCCACAGATAATCTACGAAGTCAATCATGAGAAGCTGTCTATGCACAACATATCTGGTTGCATGTTTAACCACCTAAATAAGGCATTTTAAAAGACAAAATCACTGAAAATATAAGACGCCTGCACTTCCGGGTTTTAAAGGTCCACCCTAGAGATTTCATGTAGATTCTATATGGATTTGACTCACACCTTGAGCAAAATTATGTTGGGGAAATTCTCCTTTTTATATGCAATTACACATCACTCTTCGAAAATTCTGTTTCTGAAGAAAAATCAAGTCGAATCAAGCCAACGCTTCACTGTCTCTGACTCGACCTAAATGCCGAAGACATTTTTGGACTCGAGAATTTATTAGAACCTTTTCAAGGAACTATTTCCATTTTTCTTGTCTTTTCTGTTATTCCTATCTGTGATTTCCTGGCCCCTGCTGGCTCTATCCTCCAGTCGGTGCAGAGAACACAAGTATGCAGAGCTACTACATCAACGCACTACAAGTGACAAAAGATCAACTATTGTGTGACAAAGCCAATAGAGTAAAATGTTAATGGTAAGAATCTAGGTGAGTATATAGGTGTCTCCTGTAAAAGTCTTTCAACCCTGCTGTATTGGGAAAAAATCCTCATAATTTGTAAAATATTCTCATAATTCAGGAATTGAACAATCTCAAAAACTTAACGACCTGATTTTTCCCAAAATTACTAAGGAAGACAAAAAGGTGGAAGCTTCGTGAGGTCTCACAAGAGAGGGGGATACCTTTGTCCAGTGAGATTCCTGAACAGCCAAACAGGAAAACGCAGAGATCATCGGCTTGTGCCCCAGTCTCCCTTGGATCAGCTGGTGGTTGCTGATGTTGCCCACAATCAGACGGGGGTCGTCACAGATGTCCTGCAGATACAATAATTGGTTCTAAGGGTGTGGAAAGTGTTTCCCAAGAGTCAGCGTGAGCTGAGGTAGGCAGGACAGAGATCATGACTAGGACTTCCGTAAGTGGGATAAAGGGAAGGTCCAGGGAGTTGGGCGGGGGCGGGGGGGGGGGGTTGTGAGGAAAAATACAAAGCAGTCGATCATCGGCTGCAGAGATAGGGTTATGAGGGGAAGTGGCAGGAGAAATGGGAGGAGGGGATGCGATGAGACAGGTTGAGATGGGCTGGTGGGGGTGCTCAGAATTAGCATTGTGGTTTGGAAGAGTTTTCCCTACAGCAGTGGGCTTTTGAAGAGAACTAGAGATTAGCACATTGCATTCCGGTCCTATTGGTCATGAGGAGATTTTCTGAAGCACCTGTGCCTGGAAGGGTAATTGCATTTCAAAAGACAAGGCCCGATAATGGTGAATGCTTCTCCCTCCCTGGGAAAATGAGTTCGGAGACCTTCTACAGAAAGCCCTTTCCCCAACATAAAGCAAAGGCAACGGCAGTCTCCATGGCAACTAGATTTTTCCCCATCTTTGGATGAATACAGATGGCAGCAGGTGGTAATGGACCCCTCATAGGAGCACTTCAACACACTCTTTTCCCACAGAGATTGTTCTGAGGGAAGCCGGACAGAGGTGGGGGACAGTATTTGTTTGGAGCGTATGGGTCTTTCTTCCCCGAACATGTCAACAGCCATGCCACTCCCACGGCAAGTAGGAAAATGAGACCCAAATAGCACAATGACGACACAATGTCTGAGGGCACACTGCAGTTATTTTCAGAGTATAATCGGTGTCTAGAGGAAGGATCCCCAAAGTCTCCCTGGTGATAGAATAGACTGAATAGCCATGGTGACACTCGAGTTGAAGCCTTAGGGATGACTAGCGTGAGGGAGCTGGACAAGGGAGAGGTATGGAGGCATGACGGGTAGAGAGGCAGGCGTAGACAAAGGCATCGCCGCATACACAACATCACATAATTGAAGACATGATTGTGTGACTCAGAGAATCAGCACTTTGCAGAGTTCAAAGGCAGGAAATACCAACGAAGTCTTGAGTATCTGGAGAAAGCTTCATGGAGGAGGCCGTTGGCCAGTACCTTGACATTCTGCTTACCCAGCAGAAATAAATCCTAGTCTCAAATGGAAAGAAAATCTAGACATATATCCTTTTAAATTTTATTAAATAGAGACAGCTATATTTTTCTGGTTCTCAAACCTCTTTTTTTTTTTTTAATGGACATAATTCTCCTTGATGAAGGGTCTGGTCTACAGAACGAAACATTCCATATATTCTTTAAAAGCCAAAATCACTCGGGAAAGGAATAAACATTCTAGGCAGGGACAAATCCAAAATAAAGATTAATCGGGCACCCTCTGCCAAAAGGAGAGGGTTAGGTGGGTTTTCAGTTTGGGATTTTTCTGGTTTTTTTTTTAGATGCATACCTAGTGTCTCGACATCACTTTTTTTGTCTTAGAAAAAGACTTCTATCTTCATATTTTTTTAATGGGCTGGGACTTGCCTGTTTTTTCACTTATTGAGCATAGAGCAGGTGTGTTGGGTGAATTAGGCCCTGATATTCTCTCCCAATTGTTTCTTTGCCCTTTCTAAGATGAAACTAAAAACAGCTTTTTCTCGTGGGCCAGGTGTTATACTATTTTATTTGGAGCAAGACAAAGTTATACAATGATTTCTTGGGTTTTGATGATGCAAATAATAGTTGCCTAGCATGGAAAAACAGTAACGTGAACATTGGTGCATGGAAAAGTGTGCTTTTGGATTATTAAGGCAAATTATTTGCTGGTTTTATGTGAAGTTGTTAGTGGTTGGGGTTACATTACAGTGTCTTGGATTGCCACAAGGCTCTCATTTAACAGCAGGGATCCAGGTTCAGCCAACACTTTTGGCATCCCAGCTTTTATTCAAGACATACAGGGTCACATAAATGAGCAAATACCTGTAAACAGAATTCAAATTGAGAAACTGGGTAATTATTCTCCTGTAGATCCAAGCTGAATGTGGTCATTCTGTGTGTGTGTGTGTGTGTGTGTGTGTGTGTGTGTGTGTGTGTGTGTAACTGTATGTAATCATGAAAAAATATAAATTTGGGCCCAAAAAATCCCTTATTTTCTATTTCCTCTTGTAAACTGGCCCATGGCCCAGTTTTCCTTCACCACTCTTCATGCATGATGGATGGCCATTTAACAATGGGTTTTAAAGCATGATAAATGAAAAGGCCATAGACTGTCAACGCTGAAAGAAATCTTAGGGACTATTTACTCAACCTTTTTATTTTACAAAGGAGAAAACAGGCTCAGGAAAGGGCAGCAACTTGCCCCTCCCAGCATGCAGGTAGTTAGTAGGAGACCTAGGACTGGAGTTTTAGGTTCTTCAAAAGCACATATAGTTAGGGAAGGCGTTTCATGCCTCTCTGCTTAACACTCGCCTAAAAGCTCTTCATGGTTCTGGAAGACGTGCTTAAGTTGTATCTCAGCTTTTGGTTCCAAGCTAAATATCACCAATAGGCTTTAAACGCCTCCGTTTCATCCACTCAGTGGGAATCAATCTCTTATGTATGTCAGCACCGTGATGTGAAACATGGGAGGACATCTTTATTATGCCACATCCTCTACCTCTTTAAGGAAGTCCGAGACTAGAAAGGAGCTAAGGAGGGAGAAAGGGTAAAGGGTAACAAGCCAGTGCAAATCTAACGGCCAAATGGACTTTTTTGGTGACATATTTGAAAATAATGAAATGGCTGCTTATTGACTTTTTCCCTAGTTTTGGACAACGGGTTGTCTTCATATTGGGAGTAAGGAAGTAAGGCGGGAGAAATTTTTCTGTAACTCAGAGCCGAGGTGGAGAGTGCAGATGGGATATTTCAGCCTGAGCTCTGCTGGACTGGTAAGGAATGGAGTTGGGGAGAGGTCACAGCTCACATATTCACATATTTGGGTGGCTTGAGAGGGAGGGGAGATGCTGGGCCCCTAATGGCTCCCAGCTGTGTTGGCACAGTTGCTGTGATCCTTGAACTGGGCTGTTTGTCAAGGCAAAATAATTTCTTAGGGGGGAAACACACACAACTAGGAAGTTGGACACCAAGAGTAAAGCCAGGAACAGTCCCCACATACCCCCATCCCCGAGCCAAAGCCTTCTACAAGCAAAACAGCTTCTCTAGGAAGTATGTTCTCTTAACTGAGCACTGAGAGTCCTTCCCATTGTCCTCACCTCAGCTCCCTTCGCAGAGACCTCTGGAAGATTGGCGGGGAGGGAGACACACAATTACCAGGCTTGGAGCCCTGTACGTGTCATTCTGCGTGGCTTTTGCAACGTTTTTACACAGGCGAAACTGGCGGACAATAAGCATTGAGGTCCCGGGTCAACAACCTCAAGTACCGCAGTAAAATGAAAGGAGGCCGAGAAAACCAGCAGCCAGAAGAGTGGAGACATGTCCAAGAGTGCTCCAGTCTTGCAGTACTGAGGGGCTGGGGGCCTGGACACCTACAAGTGAGGCTGGTCCTGCAGTAAATATATTATGACCAAGTCCAGCACCCTAACTCGTCCCAGAAGGCCTCCGGGCTGCCATTCGGGACCCGAGGGCTGTGCCAGTTGGTCCAAGTAGCCATTATCTTATCCTAAGAAACCTGAACCATCTCCAAGCAGAGCCTTCATAGGTGGAGCTGGGCTCAGGGACCAATGTTGGACCAGCCTCTCAAGGAGTTCACTTTACCTGCTGGCGAATTTTCCTTTTGTGGGACGAGTCTGTCGTCAGTAATAATAGCCACTTCCTTCCTTACCCCTCCAAGGAAAACTCAGTATGAAGCCTGAGAATTCAGGTCTTAAGCCTAACTTCTACTTCCAGCCTAGGCAACCGAGTCACGACATAGTTACCCCCTTTGAACCTTCAGACTTTGGCTAGAAGACTCCAGGTATAAATACCAAACTGCTTTAATTGGGAAGAATTTACATATCCATGCAGTGGATTACTGTTCAGCCATCGGAGGGACAAACTGATTACATGCTGCCACATGAATGAGCCTTGAAAATGTTATGCTAAAACAAAAGAAACCAGTCGCTTTTACTTTTCTGTTCCCAAGTAAAATGTTTAGAGCCCGGCGAATCCAGATAGAAAGCCAAAGTAGATTAAGTGAGTGCCTGTGATGGGGGGCAGCGGGGGTTACTCACCGCAAATGGGTACAGACGGTCTTACGGGGACGATGTGACTGTTCTACCATGATGAAGTTTTTGCAACTTTGTGAATTGGCTAAAAAATCATTGCCTCATACTCCTCCAACAGGTGAATTTTATGACCTATAAATTGTACTGTGAGAAAGCTGGTAAAGGGCACAAGTGAAAATAAACAGGATGGGCCCATCCAGCTGGTTTCGACTGTGTCACCGGTGAAAACATGAGGACTAGTCAGGTTGGGGGACATGATCTCTGGGAATGATAAGAACTTGATGACCAGTCTAGGCCAAAACTATGGCACAGAGGTGCCCCATTCAGTGGGGAGCCGAAAACTTCGATTAGCACAGAGAAAAGTGTTTCCCCTTTACTGTTTCCTCCCAGGCAATCTGTCCCCGAGACCTGCGTATTCTGCTTCTCATGTCTCCCCTCATCGAACTTTCCCTTCCATTCCTACCACCTTTGGCTTTCATCCAGACCCTCATCACCCTCCTCTCACATAGGGTAGTGAAATGGCCCCTGGGGAGGGTATTCCTTGTGGAAGGACCTGGGCCAGGGAAATGGTAAGTAGGGCCCGCGCTCAAAACTCGACTAGAGCTGACAGAAGATCTTGTGCAGGTGCCCTCGCTTCCCCCACAGCTGGCTGCACAAATCCCCGCGAGGGTTTGCTCCGCTTTAGTCAGGGATTAGATGTGTCTGACTCTAAGACACTATTGTAGCTGGATATGAGTCAGTCAGGAAAAAAGCCAGAGGCGGGTAGGAGGGAAGAGTGGCTGTAGAAGAGATTTTTTTTTATGGGAATTTGGCCAGCCAGATTTCAGCCCTAAAAATTGTACCTGCGGCCTTACGATCCACGCTGCCAGTCAGTATAAATCGGTATAGCTTAGATTTTACTAAGACTGTATATGAGAAAGCCCCAGGAGGACAGGAAAGTTCAGGAACACATGTCTCGAGCCGTATACCAGTGTACCCAAGAAGCTAGGCCAACAGCTGGGGCCAGTGGACCACTGGAGGAGTTAAGGAGGAGGCTTTTTCTCTGGAGGGTACGGGCAGATGAGCCGGCCCTGAATAACTGCAAAACATTCCCATAATCCCTGCCTATCTAAAGTGGCTCCTTAGGACACAGCATGGGAGGGGCAATTGGGAAGAAGGGGACACTTAATCCTACCCTAGGATACTGGGGGCTTAACTGAGGTTGTTTGGTTCAACCAGCCCTGGGGTTTACAGGCATGAAGGCTTATAAAGGCAGAAGCTTTTGAACATGGGAAAGGAAAAGAAACAGAATATCAGGTTAATCATGCTTCTTCCATTTTAGAGACTTCAGAAAACAGCCCTGGTTGAGGATGAGGCTGTGTGGCATGCCAAGGGACAAGATGTCTGTAAGCTTCCCTACAAACCGGGATCTCAACCTTGCCAATGAAGCGGGTGAGGCCAACGACCCATCTGGTCTCCCTGAGCCAATTCGGAGAGGCCCAGGGCTGTGTCTCGGCTTTCCTGATGGGAGGCCAGAGAACTTTGACGTGGTTCTTGACCACAGGCTTGGCCTCCACTCCGGCTGGAAAGGAATCCAGAGCTTTTTGAGGAGACTCAGATGGTGGTCCAGAACCTTGTTTTTCCCTCCTTCCCACAAGAGGCCCCTTCCCCAACCACTACAATCTATGCTGATCTCCCCCTTCTTCAAAACCCTACAAGATTTACTGTCTGTGTGCCTGAAGATAGCATATCTTATATCAGGCATTCATTTATTATTTAACTCGTTGATGGCTCAATATCCATCTCTCCCACTAGAATGGGAGTGCCTCACCCCAGGCTGTGTCTGTAAATTGCACAGAGGCTGCACAGAGTAGGTGCTCAATAAATGCTTCTCAAGACTCTCCCTTTGGGCTTAAGACTGAGCTCACAGGGTGCTCTCAAAAGGGAGGGTTATGGGTCATTTAACGGATGTACAGCATCGACCCAGGGAGGAGGAATGTGAGAATTGACTGGTGGGAAACTACCAATTTTAGCAAAAGAAGAGAACCAAAGAGCTCGGTTTCTCTGAAACCACAGCATGGCGGCGTGAAAACCAACGTGGGCTTTGGAGTCAAGCCTGGATTCAAATCCCAGGGTGTCTGCCTTCGGACCCCGGGTAATTTCTTACCTTCTCTCTGAGATCCACTTTCGTCATCAGTAAAACGGACGTAGTAATATCTACCTTTAGTTTTCAAACCGGAAAAAAAGAATCGCATCGGAGAAATGTACACGATACCTACCTTGCTAAGCCATGGCAAATGAAGATGAAATGAAAAAAAAAATGTACAGAAAACTCCAAACACAGTCTCTAGGCCCATGGTAGGCATGGCATAAATGCTGATTCCTTTTCCTACCCACCCCAATTCACTCTCTCTTTCTGATATCCCCTCACCCTGGAAAGGGTATTGCTTGCTTCAGAGGCAAGATGGACTCTTGCCATGGTTATTTAGTTTTTTCCTTCCCTGCTAATCCATCTAGGATTCAGTCCACAGAATTTGGAAGAAGAAGGCAAAGGACAAAGGACTGAGCCAAGAGAGAGGGGGGAGCATGTGTCTCAAGACCCAGCCAGTACAGGAAGCGTTGTCAGCTTGATTCACATCTGGGAAACGGCTTCGTGTTGGCTTATGACTTTGCCACCCATTGGGTCTCCTCCTATCTCCCCCAGGACCTCTCCCTCATCAATCATTCCTTCTCTCTCCTGTGTCTTCAACCGCTTCTTCTTTACTGTTTCCTCTTTGGCCTAGAAATACATTCAAGTCTGTCCTATTTTAAAAAGATAGCCCCCCGCCCCCGACAGAAAACCTTCCTCAATTTCCTGCCTCCTTTTCAGCTATTTCTGCCCCATGGATGTCCTGTCTTTCCGATCTGGGCATCAGAAAAGAGTGGTGCCCCTCATTATCATCATCCATTCATAAGAGTGGCACTCAGACAGGATATCTTTATTTTCTTCGTGCATTTCTGCAAAAACAAAACAAAACAAAACTTACCCCTCCTTCATACCGAATTAGTGGCTAGTGAATTCTGCTCACGTTTCCCAGATTTTTATTGCAGGTCAGTGATCTGCAGGGATGTCAACAACTGGAGGCGCAGAAAGTCAGGAGGAGTGTCATCTTCCTTCCAACGGAAAGGACTTCTCCAAGTCTCATACTCTCAAATGGCTATCATACTTTGCGGGCAAACACTGAGACCTCTCCTTCCAGTCACATAGGAAACACAAGAGCCTTGAAGGGACCAATGTATCTTGGCACCACCTGGTGGCGACCTACAGCAACTGCAACGGCTCTCGTGAGAAGTCCGTTAAGGAGTGTAATTGCAACTAAAAAGCCTGCTGGCTGAGAGAGCCAACCTTGAGTTGTTAAAGGAGGTGGTTGCATAATAGGGCACAAAAAGATACATCGGTACATGGGATCAGAAGGCCTTCAGGATATTGCCAGGGTCCAAGAATGTGCATGTCCTAACAGCCCTCTGTGGCTTATGTCCCTGGTCACGCACTTTGGGAAGGAGCTCAGGTATAATATCCTTCTTCCAGTTATACCCTTTAGAGAGGGCAAGGTTGCCTGCCATTTATTCTCCAGATTCCATCATCCTATCATTTTACACACTGAGCTCCCTCTCCTGCAGGGCTGGTGAAGAGGTTCTGAGACTTGGTTTAGAGACACGATACACAGCTGTTCTGCAGAGAACCATAATTATACTATTGATAGGTCTGAAAGAGCTACACTCCTATTTACATCCCACTTGGCTAATGGTGAGGGGATCCAGGTGATGGTATCCAAAGAGTAACAAAGAAATCTCCCCCTTCCCCCCCCCCGGACAAACTCCATCTTGTCCTTGTAGAGTTCATTTCATTTATGCTCGTTACATCAGGAGTTTTGTTGTTGTTCTTCTAAAAATTGCTATCTGACCAAATACGACTGAAATTCAAGATTCCTCAAGCTAGAGTCAGAAGCACAGATCCGTAACACTTGCCACATAAAAGCTGTCTCCTAAATTGCTTTGCGCGTGGTAGGCTGTGTTGAGAGAAACAGGGGACCAGGCAGAGTTATGATGCAAGAGATTGAGGAGGAGACAGAAAGTGAAAAGCAAACAAACAAACAAAGAAAAGACAAAGTTACCTGGGGACGTTTCCACACCACCTTCCCGGGAAGCAGCCGGTTGTAGAAAAGCGAATCATTCTCAGGCAGAAAGGTCGGGTCACAGAACAGTCTGCCATCTTTGATGCATTCCTGCTTCAGTTCCTGGTACTTCTGGTTTTTGAAGAGCTTCAGAGGAGGACCCATACTGCCGAACTATGTCTAGAATGAGGAAAAATTGTGGTCACGGGAGGAAGAAGTTCTGAAGTATTTTGAAAATTACCTGAAATTAGATAAACAGTAGTCATCCCAGTGACTTTATTCCTGGAGCTAGGCACGTGGAGCTTGGCTTTAAAAGAAAAGTGAAGATTTTCAGGGAAAGTAGGGTCCAGGCTCTGCAACCGATTAGCTCAGCATGGGGCTTTGCCTAGGGTGCCTAAAACATTGGGGGCCTCAGTTTCTTCCTCTGCCAAATGGGGCAATATGAGCCTGAACAATATTATTGAAAAAATAGATAATAAATGTTAAGATCCCTCGTTAAATGTGAGTCATTATCATTTAAAGGGCAAGCTGCCATTTTACATCAGCAGAGAGGAGTTTCAAGCAAAGGACAATTTTAAATTTGAAGATAAAAGAAAAAAGTCGTTTTACTATATTCAGAGTAAGTTGGTGCCCTGAAGGGCCACACATTATGTGCTTCAGGGGAGAAGCAGCCCCTTTCACTTCTAAGGAGCCCCTTTACACAATTCCTTCCCTTTTATCATTTAAAGAGCTTTGCATTTTTTATTATTGGCCAGGAAGGCTAATGCAAGCAACAGAGCTCAGCAGATGGCCTCCAAAGACAAGGAAAGATAGAAAGATTGTATGTGTCTTTCTTCTTCAAAGTCTAACGTGCAATCATTTGCCCGCTTTAAAAGGCAGACTCTGAAATTCAATTACACTAATTTGATGGACTATAGATTCTTATCCCATGGCAATACATTGTTGCTTTCTTTTCTTTAAGAAAAAAAAAAAACTCACACGGCTAAATAGAGAATTAATATAGTGGCTCTTCAAGCAATGGTCTATCTGAGTGCCCCACACTCAAATGTCCCTAAGAACTGGTTTTTATGGGGATAATTTGAAAGACAACTTTGATTTTAAATAACTTTGGGGTGATAATAGGGTTCTCAATGCCTTTGCCTGATTCACAAAGATAAATTCGTAATGATTTTAAATGATTCTCCCTTGACGCTCAATGGTTAGTAAGAGGAGGGTTGTGACATTTACATGGTGCCAATTATTTAAAAAATATTTTTTAGGGATAACTGTGTCTATATTTCATGATTACGTGAGGGTCGAAACAGGAAATATCTGACTAAGGTCAGAGTATCTGCTGAAAAGTGGGTGAAGTTTGAAAAGAACTAATTAGTACTTTAAAGAGTGTCTGTGTAGGTAACACAGCTCAAAATCCAGTTAATAAAGAGGGAGTCACTATTTTACAAAAAGTGAAATAATAATCAGACCTCTCTACTGTCTTATTTCATGTCCTTTCAGTATTACATTGAGATGCCTTACTGGTAAAGAAAAGAAGTCTTCCTATTTGAAAACCATAAAAAAAATTGAATTCGACATTATTTGCAAACTACAATATATAAAAACAAACTTACCCTTTCCCTGAATCCAAGGAATAAGAAGCTGAAAAGAACCATAGTTTTTATTATTTTTTTTAAATATATAGCCTTATTGATTGACCTTTGTTTTTCAAATTGAAGGTTATGGGACACTGCAAAATGCCACAATGCCTTTAAATCAGATTTAATTCTGATTAAATCATCAGATTTAATTCTGTTCACATATTTCAAATATTAAAGTGTATTTTATTGTATTTGGAGGTATGAGAGGTATCAGTAATAATTTTCCATTAAGCAGTATCAGAGCCAATCTGAATGTACACCCAGTCTCCTTTCTTGAGCCTGTTACAAATGGACCCCAATTTTCACATGTGCTCTAACTTATAACAAACACTGTTGTGCCTCTGGCTCTCCCTGGAAGGGTTGGGGGGCTGCCAGAGGCTGGGGATTGTAAATGGCGGATAGTCTGGGGCAATTAGGGTATTTAGTTTGCCAGAACCCCCTAGCCCTTGAACGTGTTGGATAAATGCGTATTTCCTGTTCTTGGGAAGGCCCTCTGCCCCCATGCCTCCCTCCCTACTCAGTCAAATGGCAAGTCCCTGTTATATAAGGCGGGCCTATCTACAGACAGAAGCCACATCAACTGACAAGAAAATCAGGCTTGATTTGAAAAACCAGTATGATCCCCGTAGACCCTTCCAGAGGCAGAATTCTCAGCTGACGTGTATAGGGCAAGCCTTCTGGGCGAGGGTACTTGCATTTGGGGCGTGCACAGTAAATACGGAATAGCAGGCTATCAGCCCGAAATTTGACAGGCTTTCATTCGAATCAAATTGTAGGCTCAGGTCCTGCTGGACTTGCAGAATAGAACTGCGCCCCATTGCTGGCTTGGTTCCTTTGTGCCTCGATTTTCTCATCAGGGGAGTGGGGTTCTCTATCCTGCCCTCCTTACCCTGTGGCTGTACCTAATGAGATGGTTAGCGTAAAAGTACTTTGAATAAGCGGAAAGGGCTCCGTAAAGGCAAGATGCACATTGTCAGCATAGGGCTGGGCACACCACCGCTGTCCAGGAAATATCGGTTGAACGGACGAATGTAAGTTATGCAGACAATTAATGCTTGCATGTATTGTCCGAAACGCACATTCTAGTTCATGTTCTCCTGGTGACAGCCATGTTTAGGAGGCATTATCCGTGCCCTTTATTTTGTATCTGCAGAAATGGCAACTCCCAGAAGGGGCAGCCAGAAACGCAAAACTGGCTCCAACCCGGGTCTGTGTAATGTCAGATTCAGTGTGCAGCCTTCCCCTTACACCACACTGCTTCTTTTGGTCACTGAAGGGATTTCTTTCTTTTTTTTTTTTTTTTTTTAAGCTCAAATGAGGAAAACCCTCCAAAGCAAACATGATACCTAACTTGGAGGCACTCTGCCTAGCACTTATTGCCACGGTGGATATTGAAAATGTTCTTTATGTCCATGGTCTGATGATCATGGGAGAATCGGAACCCTTCACCTCAGAGGGTTCATTAGGTAAGTCTGGGGGAAAAAAAAAAAAAACCTTCTGGAAACCTAGAAATTTGTAAGTCGGGTTGGTCGCAAACAATTTGCCCTGCCAGAGCCCAGGAGAGTGGGGAAGGGACTGCTGCTTCTTGACCATCTTACTGCACCCAACTGTGAAGACAAGAGTGCCTTTAGGTTAGAGATGGCATATTGAGAAAGTCAGTAAACAGAATCCGAGCTAGGGCTTTGGGTATCAACCAAAGAGAGCCTCTGGCTAACAAAGGGAACGGGCACATCTAAGAGGAGGGACCCTGTGGTCTGAGGGTCGGAGGTATTGGGTGGTTGGGTGAAGCAGAATGCGGGGTTTTGCATTAAAATGACAGTCTCTAGCAGTACGATTTCAATGAGGACCCACTGCCTAGAGATAGAGCATGAAAAAGGCTGTGTGAGCTCAGGCAAGTGGGAGGGGTGGGTCCCAGAGGGTGGAAAGTTGGAGACTGCCAGGGGAAGTTGAGGGAGCCTGCCACGTAGAATAATCCAAGGGCTGCAGCTGGGGCGATGGAGTTTTCGCTACTCGCTGGACTGGAAATCGCAGGGGAGCTGGGCAAACTCTTAAGAAGAAAATCACTCGTTCGTCACCTGTGGGTCAGCCTTAATATCGAAAACAGATTTGGCTCTAAAACAGGAAATCTGCCTCAGTTTCTTAAAGAGAACTGTTCTCTGAGAGAGGAAATCCGGTCTGCAGTTTACAAACTGCTTTTGCCCGGGGTGAGGGGGAGAGGAAGGGCGGGCATTTAAGGGGGAAGAGAGGGAGAGAGCATGGCTCCCTAGGTGGTGGCCTTGGCATGTTTCCCTCCCTCCCTCTCCCCCCCCACCCGCCCCCAGTTCCCCCTTGTGCTGTCCTCAAAGCAAAATAGGAGGTAACAGCAATTAGGAGTTTTCAGAGCAAACTGAATGCAGAAGACCTAACTCTGCCCAGGCATGAAGTAGGCACCACTTTAGTCTCACACCTGGGGGTGGTGTGGCGGGTGGGGGGAGAAGTAATAAAAACTCGGCGTCCACGGTACACAGAGCGCTGGCTTCGGCAGCACATACACTAAAATGGGGACGATACTGAGAAGATGAGTGTGGCCCCCGTGCAAGGATGACAGGCATGTTCCCCGGAGAATAGTGCCTCCCGTGGCTACACAGGCAGAGTCATAGCCCACATCTATGCACACGCATCTACCAGGGAACATATGGCTGACCAGATTCCACTTGTTGGCCAGATATCCTGGGGTTGGAACGGGACCATAAAAGTCCTCGGATCCAGCCTTATCTGGGACACATCTACTCCATCCAGAGAGAAGACTGTTCAAAGAAATTGGAAGAAGAAAGAAAAAGAGTGCACAATTCCCTTTAATTCCATTGTTGAAGAACTTTATCGAAGAATACAAAACAATCCAGAATCATAAAAAGAACACAAGTGGTCAGCAGACCCAGGATCAAGTCCCAGATACCACCATTTAGCGTAGGTAACAGCTCTATCCCTCAGTTTCCCCATCAGCACAAAGGAAATACGATGGCTGTCCTGCATACCTCAGAGTGTCGTGCTGGTTGAGGGGGGGGATCGAATAAAATTAAGCATATGAACATACTTTTAACTTTTAAAGATAAGACCAATGTCCAGCAGCAGTATTAGAAAACATTCATTTTTAGCAAATTAAATCTCATCTCTGTCCTTAGCGGAAAATGAGATGTGGTCACCTGCCTTAACGAAGACACTCACCGACATTTGAAAGACCAATATAAAATGGCCCCTCTGCCATTCGATACCCCCTCTCTCTTCCACCTCTCCTTTTTGGCTGGCTTGCCCCACTACCCGTTTTTTCCCCTCTTGGATGAATAAGCCCATCCTATAACTCTAATTTTACAGCCTTGCGAGAATCCACTTTCCAATTTTTACAGAATGTTAGGCTGGAAGGACTCTTAGAAATCACGACGCCCAACTCCTTGCTTTCACAAAAAGGTGAAAGCCCAGGCCCAAGGTTACATACACAGTTAGTGACAGAGTTGGCCCGAAAACTCAGACCTCCTGCTTTTGAGAATTCTCATTGTCTTCTTCTCACAAGAATGCACGCGGGAGTTTTGTGTTTGAATTGCAAGCTGTCAGAAGGTGTGATGATTTCAAATCAAAGCTAATCAAGGAAACACTGTTTGGGGGTCACAAAGGGACTTTTTGTCCCCTGCTTTTAATTTAGGAACCAAAAACACCCAAGGACACGGAAAGCCTTTTTTTTTTTTAACCTATTCCTGCCGAGGCAAGTGTTTAGACTTTTCCGTGGCCTGCTAGGGACTCTGTAAGGATAAATAAAGAACACTATTCAAATTCCAAGTATTCACACGTGCACACGCGCACATGCACACAAACTGGCAGAGGAGTTAATTAGCAGTACCTCCCCCCCAGCCCCACACCCAAAGAATCTTTTTTTAATCCCTCCCCCATACAATGTCCTTCATTGCACAACCGAGATTAGCAAATGAGACGTTAGCCATATTTCAGTAAAACATGAATACAAACCACGATGCTTTATCCTGAAGCCAGAGGTGACCGACGGGATGTTAGAATTTGTTTCATTTTCCTAGATGATCGTCCCCAGACGGCAGGCTCCAAATCCTCAGAACCAATTTTCCATTGCAATACTCGGATCCTTTTGCTGCCCTCCCCCCCCCTCCGCCCCACTCTGGTCAAGTAGCCCAGTTAAGCCCCTGGGCTGTGAGTGGCAGCGGAGTGGGGAGGAAGGGGGTAGAGCCCCAGCTGCAAATCAAAGTTTAAGCTAGAGCGAAAATCAGAGACGAAGAAGATCAACCTGTCACCAGGGCAGGAGGACCCCCGGCCGCGCGGGCAGGATAGCCTCCACTGCCACTCTCTCTTGTGCAAGAGCGCACAGCCCGTGCACCCCACTCCCAGGGCTTTTAAAGACCTTTGGTACACAGTGTGGAGCCACGATTATGCCTGCCTTTCAATAATTTGCCCACAACTGTGGGTCAGCCGAAGCCAGAAGGAAGCCCTGTCAGCCTTGGGAGGGTTTCTCCTTCCACACCTCCCTCCCAGGTTCGTTCTTCCTTCTCAGGTACTTTGGGTCATGAGAAGCCAAAAAAAAAAAAAAACCCCAAAAAACAAAAAACCAACCAAACAAACAAACAAAACCACCACCACCAACAACGAACAACCCCACACACAGCTGACCGGATATCACTAGAAAAATCTCATCGCCAGACAACCTCAATTCCCCGGATCACAAAGTGTCCCATTCGTTTTGAAGTTTGCAAACTATTCCGCACGCCTACTGGATTCCGACAACTCATAAAAATGATAGCTGCCGAGCTGGACTAACTATAAAGTTCCAGTTGCTTCACCTCCTCTAGCCTCCAAGTTATCCAGCAAATAGAAGTGTGCAAATGCCCTCCCTGCTCACCTGAGTTAGCCCAGGCGCCCCGCCGCCGCCGCCGCCGCCGCCGCTCTTGGCCAGGTAACCCCTACAAAGTCCGCTCAGTCAGTGCCGCTGCACAAAGATCCTGGCTTTCTTAACCTGAAAACTATTTGGGCTGTACCAAGCTCTGCTCACAGGGGGAGGTGCCTCGCAGAAACTTCAGTAGCCTTTGCCCCGCCTCGCAGTCAGAAACTGATCCTGAGTCATGAGGAAAATCTGGAAAGCGCCCCCTGCCAGATGTGCAGACGGGACACCCACGCCAGATCCACCCACCAGCAAATTGGAAAACTCAGGAAGCCACGTTTGAAAGCTCTCTCTGTTCCGAGGAGCAAGAGGACTTTCAGGGAGGGCTCTGATAGATTCCTGACTTTTCTGTCCCGGGGTTAAGAGTGCAGATGTGGACATGACTCGAGAGAGGACACGGAGAGAAAAATCTTGAAGTGTCAACAAAGTTCTCGCGGGCCGGGCTGCAGACATGGCCCCTGTACACGGATCTCACTCAGATCCTGCAAGTGAGTGGCAGAGAAAGTGGAGCTGATGGGGCACAGGGAAGAAAAAGTTTGCTTTGTGAAGCCACAGGTTACTTCTGGCCCAGGGCAGAGAGAAGGGAGCATGAAGAGGGAAGGGAGTGGAGTTTGATTCCAAGGCAGTTAGTTGTAGGAAGCCTAATTTCCAGCAAGGGGGCCCTGGCGATTCTGCCTGGCCCTGTGAGGCGAAAAGCAGAGCGAGTAAGTATCTGCTCTGAAAGGCCAAGAGGCTTTGGGGGCTACTTCAGGGGAATACCTGTAAAAGACTCTGCTGCATCCCCGTCAAGGCCCCGTTCCCTGAGACATTCACTGGCACACAGTCCCAGGGATGCCATTCCCAAGTGGTTTTGTTTGTTTCAATTTTCACAACCTGTGAAGACTCATCATCTCATTCCCTCCCCAGCTCGCCTGACCAATGTGGTGTCAACCTTTTGACCCGAAATGATCACTCTCGGGCCCCTATCCCTGTGCCAACCTTCCTTCTGGCTAGTTGACTGACAGGAGGGAGGGAGGGGGGGGAGAGGGAGAGAGGGAGTGGGAAGGAGGGAGGAAGGGAGAGAGGGAGAGAGAGGGAACAAGTGAGCAAGGACTCCAAGAAGGAAAGAAAGTGTGCTTCTCTCTACTCACTGGCCCCGTACCATGATATTTTCATGAGACAGAGCTGAGCAATTCTGTGACTCCGGTCTCTGAGACCTCCCTCTTGGCTTTTCCCTATAACTCCCTCTGTGCCTTTTCCTCCTCTATGCCTAATGGAAACTGAGCTAGAGGTAGGGGGCAATACAAAACACCAAAGCCCAGGAGAATCAGGGCTTTAAATAGTGGCACCCAGTTTGGTAATTGAGTGACAGATTTCTCAAGCAAGTATCCCCCATGTTGTGGGATTTGGGCTTTGAAACCAAGCGGGGGGGGGCGGTGTTTTTTCTGGGGTCATCTTCTTCAGCTGTCTTTTCTACCTTCCTAATTTTCAAATGAGTAGGGAATCATAGAATCTGAGAAGCTCTGTAAAGCAGCTTGTTCCAAGTTTGAGCACCCCCCCCCGATCGTTAAAAACGTATTCCTTTGAGCAAAAATCAGCTTCACACAAACTGTTTCTAATTCCTCTCTCACATGACAGACGCCTACAATATTTGTCATGTCACCCCAAGCCTTCTGTCCTCCTAAATAGCCTCAGTTCACTTAAGCCATGCTTAATGGGACACAGTTTCCAGATCTTGGCCATTCTGGTTGTCTTCTGAGCAGATCCTGTAGCTCAATTAAATCTGTCTTCCGGGGCGCCTGGGTGGCTCAGTCGTTAAGCGTCTGCCTTCGGCTCAGGTTGTGATCCCGGTGTCCTGGGATTGAGCCCCGCATCGGGCCCCCTGCCCGGGGGGGGGGGGGGGGGAGCCTGCTTCTCCCTCTCCCTCTCCCCCTGCTTCCCTGCTTGTGTTGCCTCTCTCGCTGTGTCTCTCTTTCTCTCTCAACTCTCTCTGTCAAAGAAATAAATAAAATCTTAAAAGAATCTGTCTTCTGTGTCTTGTATGAACTACTATTATTTGCCTGATTCTGTGCTTATACAACTGACTTTTATTTTAACCTAGATGCTGGGCTTTACATGCATTCCCAAGAACCATCGCCTTGTTTACTTTTTATTTCAGTGTATCCCTTGGAATTTTATTTAGATCTTGAGTCTTTCATGTAAAACATATTGTCTATATCACTGTTTCTCAACCTTTTTTTCATGATAACACCTCTAAAGGGCCTTTTAAGACATTATTTTCTAATATTTCCATGGGATTTTCATAGCACAGATGTGCTGTGCTTATGTTTATGTACTCTATGCATATCTGTGCCCTATATATAAAAAAAAATTTTTTTCCACTCCCCAAGAAGCAGTTTTTGCCCTCTTGGGGGCGCTGTCACCTCCACTGACAGTGCACACTCTCTATCAGGAAGATTCTTTTATCAGCATATTTGATCAACCAGACTAATACAATTATTGAAGAGATCGAGTCCAGGACTGAACATTGCACCGTAACCCTGGCGTCCTCCCCTTCTTAACAAGCACTTTTAATAAGATTGTCCAAACTTGAAGCAGCCCACATTGCTTCTGCTCCGACCCAGCTCCTATTTTCCCATCTTCTCCACGAGGATATCATAAGACTTTCTCAAATGTCTCGCTGAAATTCAAATACATTACGCTACAGTATGCCCTTCGTCTACCCTTTTAGATACCCATTCAAAAAAGGAAATGGGTTTAGTGAAGCATGACTTGCTTTTAGTGAGTTCATGCTTACCCCTAGTGATTTCCGCTCCCTTTCTAAAGCCTTAAAAATCACCTGCTTAATAGTGCATTCTATACTTTTGCCAAAGACCAATGCCATGCTCACTGATCTGCAGTTTCCAGGATCAACATCTTGAGCCCTGAAGCACCACTCCCCCCTTTACTGAAAATCACAACGTTTGCCTGCCTCTCTGCCTCTCTCACCTCTTCCCTTTGCCATAATTTCTCAAAGGTTAGTAAGACTGGCTCTGGGATCACATCTGCACATTCTCTTAGTAGCCTCGGATGTAATTTGTCTGGGCCTGGAAACTTGAACTCATTGAAGGCAACTAAGTACTCCCTTATTATCTCCTCATCTATCTCGGCTGTAATTCTCTTTCCAGTTCAAAGATCATGCTCCTGGATGGAGAGGTTAAGTAACTTGCCCACAGTCGCACACCTAGTAAATTGGCCGAGCTGGAATTTAAATCCTGCTCTGATTCTAAAGTCTGGCTCTTAACCAGCATGCTAAGTAGCTTTCGAGGACCAAATGAGTGGTATGGCCCATAGGTGCTATATGAGTTCCAAAGTGGGAGAGAGCAAGCCTCCTCAGCACAAGCTTAGTAAAAGAGGTGAAATTTGAGCTGGCTCTTGAAGAATGAGTAGGATTTGAATAGGAAGAAGGGAGCAATGTGCGCATCTGTGGTAGGATGATAAGAGGAAATTGATAGCATCCCAGGCAGGGGAAATAATAAAGAATAGTTACCGAGTGTCTTGCCTCATAGTGCGCTTGGTTGATCGTTATGAACGCTAAGAGACCACAAAAGGTCAAGAGATCGCCAGCGTGTTCCTTCTTTCCCCGAGGAAGTAGCCATTCCTTCAAGCTCTGTGCTTACTAGTTGTATACCCTTGGGCAAGGCCCAGTCCCCCTGAGCCTTGCTTTCCTGCTCCAGAAAATGGGAATAATGGTAGGCCTACTTTAGAGGGTTGTTGTGAGGATTCCATCAGCTAGTTAATGCATGTGAAGTACTTAGAACACTGCCTGGCGTATGGTTGGGACTCAACGAATACTTAATGCTGTCATTATTATTATTATCATTATCATTATTATTACTGAGGTTCATTTTTCATTCAACAAACATTTACTGAGCTCCTACTGTATGCTGGATCCGATGTTAGATCCTGGGGTCATAACGGTGAACAATAAGAAACATGATCTCAGCCCTCAGGGAGTTAGAGGTCCACCACCTGTAGATTTTGTGAACGTTTTCTGTCTGTACTATTTTTTTGGGGGGGGTTTCATATTCTGGGTAATGTGGTACATTTTACTTCTTCAGAAGTTTTGACCTCCTTCAAAAGTTTGTGGGGACAGTGGTAAGGAGCCTTTGATCCAGGAGCCCAGGATTTGTGGAGCAAGTTGCTGGCTACTCTCTCCAAAATGCTATAGATTCTGACTAATTCCATTTCAGCATTCACCCAAGTCTTGGGTTCTGCCTTTTTGCATCCTCCAACCACATCCCCAGCCCAATCGTTTCTCTCATCTTGGGCATCTTCCAACCCTAGATTGTAAAATTGAGTTCTGTGATGGGGAAAAGCCAGCTGCGCCCAGTGTGTGTGTGTGCGTGCGTGTGTGCGTGCGTGCGTGTGTGTGTGTGTGTAGCGGCGGAGGGTGGGGGGTGGGGAAGATCATGTTAGTGCAGCGTGGGGCAGTACCATTTGGTTTTGGCCAGCGAGCTGCAGTCCTTGCCTATTCTGACATTACAATCCCCCAAGGCCAGTGAGAGTGTGAACAGAAGCCACAGAAGAGGATGGACTGGCAGCTTCCAAACCAAATAGCCTTGGGCCAGTGTGGGGTGGAGTTCAACCAAGACTTTGGGAGGGGGTAAATTGGACGCCTTCCCTGTTGGCCTGGTTAACACAAAAATATGTTTCACTGGGCTGTCGGCAGGACTTCCTTTAATTAAGGGAAGCAACTCATTTGCCTTGTCAACTAAAGGGCTCTAGTTTCTCAATATTAGTCAAAGGAAACCTCTGTCCCTAAATAAATGGTTACAGTGGTTCCTAATCTCCGACTCTATCAATTTCTACTCCTCTGCTTGGTCACCGAGGCCCTTCCTCCACCGAGGGATGTCATTGTAGCCATTTGCCGTGATTGGTTTCACCACTACTCCTTGGCGCTGGCCTAGTTTGCCTCTGTGGTCCATTTCTTAGGGCCGGCCAGCATTTTCAGGAACGCAACCACCACTGGCTGGTGCTGGGGCAGGAAACTCTGGGCTGGGGAAGT